AAAAAAAAAAAAATATGGCAGGCAACTATAACACAATGATTAAGTATTTGTGTATCTAAACATAGAAAAGATACAGTAAAAATATAGTATAAACGAATTTTAAAAGGTACACCGCTATAGCCTCATTATATTTTTATGAGATCACCATGACATATGTGGTTTCTTGTTGACATAAGCTTGTTAGGTGGCACATGACTATAATTGATTTACAGAAAGGATCTTCAGCAAAATATTCCATCTAAGATAAGTAGATGTTGAACTCTAAGTAATAAGCTACATTAGAAAAGCATAATAGTTTTTGAAAGCTACAGCATAATCACACTTAGGTCAATAATTACTTTCTGCTCAAATTCCTGAGATCCTGTTCGAGGGGAGTTAAAAAGTCTTATTTTCAAGTAGCGTAGAATCCCTAACCCTGGGTGGAAGAGACTAACCACTCTCCTGTGTCTATTACTGTATTAGGATCCTAATAGTCCTCACTTCTGCTCTCCAAATTTCAAATAAGGAGTCAGAGCCAAGAGCTAGAGCTCAGTAAAAGCACTAGAAATACACTCAGAATTTCACACTTTCCTAAGAATGATACATGCTGAAGTTTTCCAAATCTGCTAGTTCTCTGAATTACGACTACACTGGCTAGGTTGCCCTTGAGCTTTTTTCCCACGTACTTGAATTAAATCATGTAGTTCTTCTTCACTTCTGACATCTGTGATCTCTTCACTGGGTCTATACTCCACAGCTATTTTACCAGTTTCTGAAATAAAATTAACAAGGATTAATTCAGAATTTTTTGGTTCTAAAACTTCCGGCATATAATGGTGACACCATCCCATAATGAGACATTCTTCTGATTTCTAAAAGCAGAAAATAAGGGCATTTTCCTGGAAATTTCCTCATCTCACATTTCAATTTTTAACATAACCACTTATTAAAAATATGTATGAAGTATCAACTGTGTTTGGTCCAAAAAACTTTATGATCTTACAAGCAGGAACTAAAGAATTTACAATTTATAGGAAACAAAAAATGTGAAAACAAAAATGTTCAATCATGCCTAGGCACTGTGGCTCATGCCTGTAATCCTAGCACTCTAGGAGGCCAAGGTGGGAGGATCACTTGAGCTCAGGAGTTCGTGTCTAGCCTGAGCAAGACTGAGACCCTGTCTCTACTAAAGATAAAAAATAAATAAAAAAAAATAAAAATAAAAAAACCTACCCAGCATTTTGGCAGTACTTATAGTCCCAAGTCCTTAGGAGGCTGAGGCAGGAGGATAGTTTGAACCCAGCAGTTTGAAGTTGTTATGAGCTAGGCTGATTCTATGGCACTCTACCCTGGGCAACAGAGACTCAGTCTCAGAAAAAAAAAGTTCAATCATAATATGATTAAATAGTAAGGCACTAAACGGGGGTCAAAATGAGGGTCAAAGTGAGTTCAAACCTGGGATAGAGAACTGGACTAGTTGACATATTAGAAGCAAGAGACAAGTATCTACTCCCTGGGAACTAAAATTCTACCAGATACAATATACAAAGCTTTGCAGATAGACAGCATTTGAACATTTTATTGGCAGAAACTGGCCTACATATTGTAGACAATACAACTTCCTTCGAGGCAAACTAGAGCCATAAGGCTTTAGGTCTAAGGAAGTTTGAGTATGTGTGAGGGATATCTTTGCATACTAGGGAGAGATAAACAACCCAGACATCTAGTTTGGTGCTTGAAGGTTATTACAGACTTGACAGTTGGAAGGCTGAGACTTATCAGGGCCATCTCTGATTTTTCAGTCTCTGACCCTTCGGGGCTATGAAGCAGATGAGCAATTCTGTTCAGGGACTTTCTGTTCATCAAGTTTCCTGTAACATTCACAATACTGTAGAACTCAACAGGGACACAATCAGTGCCATTCAAAAGTACTTTCACAGCTCACAGGAAAGCAGCCAATTATGTGTACTACATAGGAATAACATTCACCCAATGTCAGTGCCAGAAATGAAAGCTGAAACTGAATTCTTGATTCAAAAAACATAATCTAATAAACTCTCTTCAATAGAGTTCATTCTCTATTTATTCAGGTAGAAAACAACAGTGATACAGTTAACATATTTTGTCTGTTTATCACATAAGTAAAGTTCTGAGTTTTTGCATTTGTCACCTCACTTACTCGTACAATATCCCCCATATGGTAGGTTGAATTACTAACTTCTCTTTGCAGAGAAAAAGACTGCAGCTTAGAAATACTAAACATCTTCAAACCTCTCTGGTTATAAAACCTAAATTACATTAAAAGTCTCTAAGAGATAGTTAGGACTTGAACCCAGGTGTTCAAAGCTTATAATCAGACTGGGCTCAGTGGCTCATGCCTGTAATCCTAGCACTCTGGGAGGCTGAGGCAGGTGGATTGCTTGAGTTCACGAGTTTGATACCAGCTGGAGCAAACGCAAGACTGTCTCTACTAAAAATAGAAAAACAATGGCTTGGTGCCTGTGGCTCAAGTGGCTAAGGCGCCAGCCATATACACCTGAGCTGGCGGGTTTGAATCCAGCCTGGGCCTGCCAAACAACAATGACAGCTACAAACAGAAAATAGCCAGGTGTTGTGGCGGGCACTTGTAATCCTAGCTACTAGGGAGGCAGAGGCAGGAGAATCATCTGAGCCCAGGAGTTAGAGGTTGCTGTGAGCTGTGATGTCACAGCACTCTACCCAGGGTGACAGCTTGGGTAGAGTGACAGCTTGGGTAGAGTGACAGCTTGTCTCAAAAAAAAAAAAGAAGAAGAAGAAGAACTGAGGCAAGAGGATCATTTGAGCCTAAGAGTTGGAGGTTGCTATGAGTTATGACACCATGGCACTCTACCCAGGGTGACAGCTTGAGACTCTGTCTCAAAAAAAAAATCTTATAATTAGTATTCTGCATGCTGGGCAAACAACTGAGAAAGAATACTTGGATCAAACACTTTCTATGTGAACTGAGGCAGGTCATTCTACATCTACAAACTATGTACAATAATGTTTGCTGACATTTTTCTCACAAATGTCACAGAGAACAAATCTGAGACTGTTGCTGTGAAAGAATTTAGTGAATAAGAACATAAGATGGAATGTTTTAGATATCCATATTTTCATCCACTTAACTTTTCAAAATCCCAGTACTTTCAGAGGCTGTGGCAAGAAGACTGGTTGAGGTTAGGAGTTTGAGACTAGCCTGGACAGCATAGTGAGACCTTGTGTCTATTTTTAAAAATTATTTAAAATTGGCTGGCACCTATAGCTCAATGGTTAGAGTGCTGGCGCCATGTACTGGGGTTAGCGGGTTCGAACTCAGCCTGGGCCTACTAAACAAAACAAAACAAACAAACAAAAAACAGATATTTTGGCTTGGTGCCTGTAGCTCAGGGGTTAGGGGGCTGGCCACATGTACCCGGGCTGGTGGGTTTGAACATAGCCAAGGCCTGCTAAACAAATAAACCAAAAAAAATAGCCATGCATTGTGGCAGGTGCCTGTAGTCCCAGCTACTTGGGAGGCTGAGGCAAGAGAATCGCCTAAGCCCAAGAGCTGTGACACCACTGCACTCTACCAAGGGTGACAAAGTGAGACTCTGTCTCAAAAAAAAAAAAAAAAAATTTAAAAATATTCAAGCTCACTGGCTCATGCCTGTAATCCTCTGGGAGGTCAAGGTGGGAGACTGATTGAGGCCAGGACTTCAAGACCAGCCTGAGCAAGGGTAAGACACCATCTCTACAAAACAGATTAGCTGGGCATGGTGGTACATGCCTATAGTCCCAGCTACTTGGTAGGCTGAGGCAGGAGGATCACTTGAACCCAGGAGTTTGGGTTACAGTGAGCTATGATGATGCCACTGGGCAACCGAGTTAAACTCTGCCTCCCCCAAAATAAATAAACACACACACACACACACACACGTACACACAAATAAAAATTAAATTTAAAAAACTCTTACCTAAAACCACAATCAATAGTTTCTGGAATGCATCTGACAAAGCTTTCTGAATAGCAAGCCTCTGAGCTGTCTTCCTTTTCATAAGGAATGATAATGGTCCTAAATCCAACCAAAACAAATGGATTTAAAATGCCTATTTGAATGATAATTGATTGTTAAGTGTTTAAAAAATGAAAATACATTCATGATTCTTAGATCACTATCAGTGATTAGGGCAGACAGAATACAAGAATATGGCTGAATGAATGGCACTGTTGTAAGCAAACACTGGTAGGGCTTGTTTTTTTTTTACTGCTTCTGTCTAAGCTGGCCGTTCCTGAAGGACTATATGGGAGATACAAGCCAGGAACTTGGTACAATTCTATACCACCCAGAGATTTCAAGTTGACCAGTTGAGGCTACACCACTATAGACCCTACCCATCAAGGGCTGGGATCACACACTGAAAAAGGTTTGGAGGTAGTGCAGATGGTCTGGCTCTATCCTGGGCATCACCCACAGGCACCTACTCTATTCCACTGACCTCTCTTTTAAGTCACAGCCCTAAGCCTGTGGGCCATGGATTATAGAAAAGTTTAGTATCAGTATCAACTGAATACCCTAACTAGGTATTCATATTGGACTCTATTTTTGGCTCAAGCCCTTCCCTGAGTAGGAAGTAGACTGAATGTTTACAGAGGAGGTTTTTTTTTTTTTTAATCTTCAGATGATAATTTTGCTGGGACAACAGAAGGTCACAAGAGAGGACTATTTTAACACAAAGCAATGTCTTAACCAAAACCCAGAAAAACATTATCTCCCTCCTCCTCCTCTTCAGGTTCTTGGTAGGAGGTCAGCTCTAAAATTTTTGACTTAAAGGTTCTATCAGGAATTGCTTAAAGTAAAAACCTACATAATAAGGGAGAAAAACTGCCCAGGACTTTAATAGCTTAGCAAGGGGTGAGCCTGATATGTATGTAAAATGATAAGTTTCAGAAACTAAGAAAAAAGAGAGATCCTTCCCCCAACTGAAAACAGACCTTCCTCCAGGTTATGTACAGGCTCTTCGGCCACACCAACTCCAAGACTCCTGCACTCATAGAATGGCAGCAGCACCTCTAAAGCACAGAAAAACTTCAGGCTTTGCTTCTGAAGTGGTGTCACAGTATCTTCATTTTCCCTTTCTTCAACGTCAGAAAGCTCCTGAAGCTGTTAGGATTTTGAATTAAAGGTCCTTCTTAGGATCTTAAAGTAGACTTTGAAGTGTTTTGCTATTAGAATTAAAAACTAAACTCCAGAAATCCCACCTAACGGTTGATGCATCCTATAGCTTCAAAATCAAGTAAGATTTGCAAATGAATTACTAGATATAGATGGCCATTTTTTATTATATGCCACACTAACATTGGAAAGAAGCACGAAGACCACGACCCAACTAATGGAGAATATTACCAATTCTAGGTGGCAGGGCAATTCAGATACATCCACTTACCTTTAATGACAGGGGACCATTCATACCTCCTCCTCACAACCCAATCCAGTCCTTTTATCTGAAGTCTTGGATTTTTTTTTTTTTGAGACAAAGTCTCAAGCTGTCACCCTTGGTAGAGTGCCATGTGTTATAGCTTACAGCAACCTGCAACTCTTGGGCTCAAGCGATCCTCTTGCCTCAGTTTTTCTATTTTTAGTAGAGACAGGGGTCTTGATTTTTGCCCAGGTTGGTCTCGAACTTGTAAGGTCAAGCAATCCACCCACCTTGGCCTCCCAGAGTGCTACGATTACAGGCATGAATCATTGTGCCTGGCTGAAGTTTTGGATTTTTTTTTTTTTTTTTGAAACAGAGTCTCATTTTGTTGCCCTCAGTAGAGTGCCATGGCATGGTAGCTTGCAGCAACCTCAAACTCTTAGGCTCAAGTGATTCTCTTGCTTCAGCCTCCCAAGTAGCTGGGACTATAGGTGCCCACCACAACGCCCAGCTATTTGAAGTCTTGGATTTTAATGTTAAAGAAAGTGTAGTTAGTGAAAGAAAATCTAAAAAGTTTACCTTAATGATCCTTTTTGACCATCCATTGAAACCAAAGTAGTAATTTGCCAGTTCTTGGCATTGGAAGCTGTTTAGGGCAAGAGCCTGATGTTGAACTGCCCTATGCCTGGTGCCAAGACGAACCTACAGTCACAAAGGATAGACCCACAAATATCACAACCTGCTAGAGATTTTATTTTATTTGATATTAGAGACAGGGTCTTGCTCTGTTGCCTAGGCAGAGTGGAGTTCATAGCTCACTGCACCTTCCAACTCCTGGGCTAAAGCAATCTTCCTGCCTCAGCCTCCTGAGGAGCTAGGACTACAGATGCAAACTTCCATTCACAGCTAATTTTGTAATTTTTTTTGAAGAGACAAGCAGTGTTTTGTTGCCAGGCTAGTCTCAAACTCCTGGCCTCACACCTTATCCTCCCAAAGTGCTGGGAAGAGATTTTATTTGGGGCACACATGAGATTTACCCACATAGATTTCATAAAGTGGATGTGAAGATTAAATAGGATAGAACATTTTAAGCACTGAATTCATAGTAAGCTCTAAATAAATGTTATTCATTACTCTTAAGCCATAGTGTATTTCTGAATCATTTCCAGGACCCCTGATTAATTGGAAAGTTTCCCTGATCTCTGATGGTGAACAGTGATGATGAAGGCAATTAAGGAAGACTCACAGAGGTAAATTATAGGGTAGTAACTGAGCAAAAAAAAGAAATTGTTTCAGTCTTCCTGTCCAGTAGCTTCTGCTTGAGAATATGGCCTAAGGAGCAGATAAGATGACCCTACCACTCTCTCCTCTCCCTAAGTTACTAACCCCTGTAAAAGAGGTCATATATTTATGCAAATTTCACATCAACATTAAAAAGCTTCTTCTTCTTCTTCTTTTTTTTTTTGAGACAGAGACTCACTTTGTCCCCCTGCATAGAGTGCCAACTCACAGCAAACTCCTGGGCTCAAGTGATCCTCTTACCTCATCCTCCTGAATAGCTGGGATTACAGGTGCCTGCTACACCACTCACCTGTTCTTTTTTTGTTTTTTTGAGACAATCTCAAGCTGTCACCTTGGGTAGACTGCCGTGGCATCCCAGCTCACAGCAACCTCAAACTCTTGGGCTTAAGCGATTCTCTTGCCTCA